CCAGGGGTTGGAAGGACATGGATTAGACCAGCAGCTTTCAAAGTTTGGTTCCCCAGGTGTTTTGGACTCATTTCCAAAAGTCCAGCCTGTCTAGCCAATGCTGAGAGATTCTGGGAGGAGAAGTCCAAAACACCTGGAAGAACAAAGTTTAAGAGAGCCACTAGCTTGGACTGGTCACCCGTTTCTGATAGAGCAATGGTTCTCAACCTGTGGGTCCCCAGATGTTTTGGCCTACAACTCCCAGAAATCCTAGCCAATTTACTAGCTATTAGGATTTCTGGGAGTTGAAGGCCAAAACATCTGGGGATCCACAGGTTGAGACCCACTGTGATAGTGAATGTAATTGCTGTTTTAATGTTTTATTGTAATATGTATTATGATGTTTTATTGACTGTATGTGATATTATGGTTGGAAACCGGTCTGAGTCCCTCAAGAGAGGTGAGAAGGTCGGTATACAAAACTTTTAAATAAATAAATAAAGCTTTGGTACCTTTAACAGTTGGCTGAAAAAGCTGACTGAAAATCAGTCAGTATATACATCTTAGTTTGATAGAGTGGTGGTTCTCTATCTTTTGTCTGAACTTCATCTCCCACAATCCCTGACCATTGGCCATGTTTTTTGAGGCTTCTGGGAAATTGATTTCAAAACAACCAGTGGACTAAAATTTGTCCACCACTGGCACAGAAAGCTTATTATTATTATTATTATTATTATTATTATTATTATTATTATTATTTGAATCACAACAAGATGAGTCCACAGCAGACACTCTGTGGACTAAGGAAGCCAGTATGGCTGTTGTATTGGATCACACGTCGGACACTTCCCAAGTGTCTAGGACTGTGTGATGTATCGGCGAATAATTTGTGCAGATCCCAGTAAGGTGGCCTTTTGCAGCTGGCAGATGGTAATTTTGTCAGTGCCAATTGTGTTTAAGTGCAGGCCAAGGTCTTTAGGCACTGCACCCAGTGTGCCGATCACCATTGGGACCACCTTGACTGGCTTGTGCCAGAGTCTTTGCAGTTCAATCTTTAAATCCTCATATCATGTCAGCTTTTCCAGTTGTTTCTCTTCAATCGTGCTGTCACCTGGGATTGCAACATTGATGATCCATACTTTGTTTTTTAACACGGTCGTGAGGTCAGGAGTATTGTACTCCAGAACTCTATCAGTCTGAATTCGAAAGCATTATTTATTTATTTATTTACTTTATTTATACCCCACATTTCACCCCGAGGAAACTTTATGCATTTTGGTCTGTCGGGAAGAAAAAAGCATGGGATACATGACCTCTGTCAGACTACAGTTTTCATTGCTAGAGGAATGGCGTGGGAAAATTAGAATGTCATAGCTTCTTTTTTAAGGAAGCCAGTATGGTGTAATAATGGTTTGAACACTAGACTATGACCCTAGAGATCAGGGTTTGAACCCCTGCTCAACCATGGAGGCTATTAGGTGATTTTGGGCAAGTTACATTTTCTCAACCTCAGAGGAAGGCTATGGCAAAGTACTTCTGAACAAATCTTGACAAGAAAACTCCATGCTACTCTTAGGTTTACCTTAGCTCAGAACTGACTTGAAGATGTACAAAACCCACAATAAATTGCCTCCCAACGACTCACAATTTTCCCACATTCCCTCTCCTTTCTCACAGGCAGCTACTTCTGGTTGTTAGACCCAATCCCTAGGTAAATATTTTGTTAATCAGGGTAGAATATGAAATTAAATAGCTCCCATACAGCTCCACTTCTTATTTTTATTGCTGCTGCTGTTATTGCTACTGTGGCCATTGCTATTCTGCTGTTCTTTTTTTATCAAGACCGAAAGCATCTACTTCCTCTGAAGACAGAAAATTGGAGTTAGGGTAATATGGTGCATTTGAGGATGGTGTTACCTTGTGTGTTGGAAATGTAAGGGTAGAAGTAAAGAGTTGGACAAATTGCAAAAAAAACAAAAACAAAAAGCTTGGCATTTTGCATCCTAAGAATACCAAATTTTCTTAGTTGTTTTTGAGCAGGTTTCTAGCCCTTGTAGTGCTGACAGTGCACCTTCCTGTCATTTCTGACTTGTGACGATGCTGAGACAAACCTGTTGTGAGGTTTCCTTGGTAGCATTTCTTCAGAGGGTATTTGCCATTCATTGCCTTCCTCTGAGGCTGAGAGTATATGGCTTTCTGAGGTTTGCCCACTGCGTTTCTATTTTGGGGGTTTGGATCCTGGTCTCCAGAGACCTGTTGCAGCATTCAAACCACGGCATCATGTTGGATCTCTTCTAATCTTAATAACTGTGAAAAGAAGGCAGAGGTGTGAGAAGAATCTCCTCTACTGAAAATCAATTGTTTCATACTCAATTTGTTTCTACCAGTGAAAAGCTCTGCACAGTTCTTCTGTCTTTTCACCCTTGACTGTTGTTTATTTGTTTGTTTGTTTCATGGAAAGAAAAACAGATTGAGGCATTGTGCTGTCGCGCCTGGGGGCTATAACTCTTAGTGAAAGAGGCATGGATGTGACATCTTTCCCCAGGGGATTGCTTCTTGCCCTCCTTTAGGAAAACTGGAACTCCCAAGGACCAAAACACTGTAGATAACTCAAAATAGGTTTTATTGTTCACAAAGAGTTATCCTTTTAAGGCAATAAGCTGGAAGTTTCAAAGAGGGTAAAGGAAATATACATTACAGTCTCTGGTTGTCTTGGGTCCAAGGAGTTTTGCAGCTGAGAAGCTTTTCCAGGTCCCTCTTTCTCAATGGCTGTGAATATCGGAATAATCACAACCCCAATTCCAATGGCCTATATTTTGAAGGCACAAAGCCTTCCTCTGGTGCCAAAGAACTGGTTTGAAGGCGCTTGAGACTTCTCAACGTCGTCCAGGTTGATCTGAACATGAAGCATAAGTCTCAAGGGTAAGAACCTCAGAATTGGTGCTGAGAGGTAACTTAATCAAGGGCTTCAGAGCCAAGTCTCTCTCACACATCCATCTGATAGAAAGTTTGATGGTGGAATGGAAAAGGAAACACTGTCCTGCTCTCTAGGAAGAGGTGGAGTCAAACAATTGAGTAGGAGGAGCAATTTAACTGGTGCAAACAACATTGATTGACAGCTATAAATAACCAATCAATCCAGCTATACATTTACAGGGTAAAAATGCAAAATCAGGCATGGTACAACAGTTCAAATCCTGCAACTTACAGTTCTACCCTGTAAATATAGGTGGCGCCACTCGCGCCATCACAGGCATCCTTGTGAAATCAGTAGGAGAGGATGCAGTTATATATAGGAGTTTTTAGGAATCTGCGAGTACATCGACATCTCTGTGGTAGAGAAAGCTAAAGACCTTGTAAAACTACAAACCCCAGGATTCTAGTCATGACACCTAAAGTGATGTCAAACTGCACTGATTCTACAGTATAGATGCACCCAAAGGCTCCTATAAACATATGTAAACATGGCTGGGCATTTGCACTATAAATGTGTTCTATAGAAACCCTTCTTTATTTCAGGGGAGTATGACCATTTACATCCAGTACAGAACAGTGGATGACTTTGGACATGAGATTGTCCTTACCTGTAACTGGCCAAGAGATTGGTTGTGAGATTAACTATGCTGATTGAAAAGAATGGGATATGACATCTCATAACACAGAGATCATTATGGTAAAATAGACACAGATACAGAATGTATTTTTATTATTCATTATTTACAGTATTTGTATACTGCTTTTCTCACCCCGAGGGGGACTCAAAGCAGTTTACACATAAGTAATGGCAAAAATTCAGTGCCAGTACAATTACAATTATACACTACAATTAGACATAAATTAAATTAAAAAATACATCAGTGAGCAATAAAACAATCATGGGTGACACCTGTCTCGACAACAGTCCTTTTCAAAGAAATCTTAGAGTCTTAGTAGACCACAAGTTGAGCCTGAGCAAACAATGTGATGCAGCAGCTAACAAGCCTAATGGAGGGGGGAGGGGGACAAAGAGGTAAAAACGGAGTAGGGCAAGCCTGCACAACCTGTGGCCCACTAGATGTTTGAGCCTCCAACTCTGAGAAGCCCTTGGCAGCTTGTCTGGGACTTGAAGTCTAAAATACTTGGAAGGTCATAGTTTGCATAGACCTGGAGCAGAGAGTCCAGATCAAGGGAAGTCATGGTGTCCCTCTATTCTGCTTTGGTCAGACCTCACCTGGAATACAGTGTCCAATTCTGGGCACCACAATTCAAAAGAGATATTGACAAGATGGAATGTGTATAGAGGAGGGTGACTGAAATTATCAAAAATCTGGAAACAGTGCCTAATGATGTGTAGCTAAAAGAGCTGTGTATGTTTAGCCTGCAGAAGAGAAGGCTGAGAGAGACATGAGAACCATCTTTAAATGTTTTAAAGGATATCATATGGAAGAGGGAGCAGGTTTGTTTTCTGCTGCACTGGAGACTAGGGACATTATCAGACACAGTCTTCTCTACATCTTATCTCTATTTTCAGTTGCTGGCAAAACGGCATCACATTTCCAGTGTTGGGAATCCATGTTGCCAATGTCTGAAAATGGAGAGGAGACTAATTGCAGAAAATGGGGAGGAAGTGAGGAAAGCACAGGAATTGACAGAAAATGAGGCCATCCCAGAAGACAAGAAAAGATGATAGGGAAGAATAGTTCCCTCTGCTTTCCCCCTGCCCTTCTGATGGGGTCTTAGGAATCAGAGCAATGGGTTGAAACGACAGGAAAGGAGATTCCACTTGAATATTAGGAAGATCTTCCTGACTGTAAGAGCTGTTGAACAGTGGAACTCTCTGCCTCAGAATGTGGTGGAGGCTCATTCCTTGAAGCCTTTTAAACAGAGGCTGGATGGTCATCTGTCAAGGGTGCTTTGGTTGTGCTTTTCCTTCATCGCAGGGGGTTGGACTGGATGCCCCATGTGGTCTCTTCCAACTCTATGATTCTATGTGTGTTTGGTAAGGGGAGCTGCCATCATCCTGTCTGCCTCTTTCTTCACAGCCACCCCCACAGCTCCAGTTGTATTTCCACTGTCCCCCTGTTGCCAAGATCTCTCAACTGCCTCTGAAGTGAACCTTGGATGTTTGGTCACTGGCTACTATCCTGAGCCGGTCACAGTGCAGTGGAATTCAGGAGCCATCTCCACTGGCATCCGGACCTTCCCAGCAGTACTGCATTCCTCCAGCGGCCATTACACTCTCAGCAGCCAGCTCACCGTCCCAGTCTCCAGCTGGAATACCGAGAATTTCCAATGCAAGGTCGTACATGCACCAACCAGCTCCTCAGTTGACCAAACGATTGAACGTGAGTCATGCTGGGCCATTGCTGCTCATTTTCTATCCCAACAAACTGGCAATTGACCTGGAAAGGAAAGAACCAAAATATCAGATTTTGGGGTGTGGAAATAGAGAACAGTAACGGTACATTGGGTAGTATTATTGAATGATTGCTTAGGGTCAACACCATATAAAATATGGCAGACAACACAAAATCGTTGTCCTTGCCCAGTGTTAATTATAATACTCCATAAAGGCAGAAGCCATATCTATGGTTTCACTAACCTGCGCTATGGGGAGAATGGTCTCTTTAGGCATTTTCTAGGTCCTCCAGTTCTATGGTATACTTATTCCAGAGGTTGCCACAGAGTTGCATTGGAGTATCTAGGACCGTGATGGTGAACCTATGACATGCGTGTCAGTACTGACACGCATGGCTATTTTTGATGACACGCGGCCACATGCGGCCGCATACAGAGAAGTACACCTTATAAGAGCCAATCTAATTCCATCCTTAAATTTGTAAAAGGCTCTACAAATTTAACATCTGCATGTTTAACCATTGTTCACTCCATAACTCAGCATGGAATATACATTTTTCTTATTTAAACTAAAAATATTGCAAAATTATATGGGGGTTTTTCTCGAAGTTGACACCCCACCCAAGTTATGCTCAGGTTTTGGGAAAATTTTGACACAGGTTGCCCATCACTGATCTAGGAAGTTCCTAGCAAGGTTGCCTTTCTAGAAATGTCTAGGTCCTTCCATACAACTGGACTTAAGGAAATTAGATGTTGTACAGACATATTCATAGTTTCAAGTAACCACACTCCAGCTGGGAACATATTCCCAGCATACCCGAGGGTCATGCTGTATGTTCAATGCATTGTGTGTGTGTGTGGATTTCTTGTGATATATTTTAAATTGCTATTGATTGCTTCATTACTCTTGTAACAGTATTACCAGCCTGAGTCCTTTTGAATGGTTTGTATGATTTGTCCATATGTGAACCGAGTTCTCCTGTGTACACCAATATGAACAAAGATTGAGGGATGGAAGAGGTCCAGGTGCTGAATCTTATGTGATGATGAAAGGAGGAAGGTCAACCTCCCTGTTTTTTGTGCAAGAAGAGGCAAAGTGAAGAGTTGTAAGAGAAAATCAAGCTTACATGGAGAATTTGGATAGAAAAGAATAGTGTGGCCTTATTGAGATGGTGAGACTGTGCTTCAGCATGAGAAAAGGCAAGGAAAACAGTTATAGAAGATACTTTTAGTGGGCAATGACAGCCAAATGCCTTCAAAGCTACTGACTTCACCCTCATGCTGCCACATTTCTTGCCACCTTCACTACCTAGATATAACTGTGGGGTTGAGTAGAAGTGGGGCTCACTGGAGCACAGGAGATATGGTGCACCGAATGTGGTGTTCATATTCCTTCCTCCACCATTCAATTCCTCTCCCCTCCAGGCTGTGTGACACATAGTCCAGTGCCCCCAGATGTCCGCATACTTCATTCCTCCTGCGGCCCCAGCTCCTCTGATGCCACCATTGAATTGGCTTGCATTGTATCAAGTTTCTACCCAAAAGAAGTGACTGTGGAATGGCTGATAGGTGGAAAGTCTGGGTTGCTCCCCTCATACACTGAGCCTCCCAGGCAAGATGCAGTTGGGTACACCTTCAGTACCACCAGCAGTGCCAATATTAGCCAAGCAGACTGGCTGGAAGGAACCATCTACACCTGCAAGGTGACACATCCCGGAAGCCAAACCACCACGAGAAGCCGAGCCAAAAAATGCGAAGGTAAGACCTCCCTGTGTAAAATGGATATTAGTTGAAAAGGAGGGAAAAGGAAAACAAATACTTGCAGGTTGCTTGAAGGCATTGTGTTTTCTTCTTGGGATTTGTAGTTTAGTGAGACACTAACACTCTTTGGCAGAGATGTTTTCAAAGTCACATGCCCTAAGCCTGTGCCTTTTAACTGAACACCAATAGCGTGTTCCTTACAGTTTAAGGAAATCCAAAGGTCTTATTTACAATGGGGTGCCTATTTGTACTCAGTACTTCCTTAAAACAGTACAATCCCCATATCCATGGATTTGATATCCATGGTTTCATTTATTAATACTCAAAAAATATTTCCTCCCAGAAGTGTTTGTGGGCCTCTCTCCAGATCCTCCAACAGAATTCTAAAGTATGCTTCCAACCCATATATATATATAATCAAAATACAAGGTTCGCTATTATCTGCCTTTTCAGGTATCCAAGGAGGGATCTTGGAATGTACTTCTGGGAACACAGGAGTCTTACATATTCTTTCAGTATTATACAGTTCAAAAGAGTACATGTAATCTCCAAAAATGACAATATAGTCTACCAATTTTGTTACTGAATTGGGCTGAGAAAGAAGGAAGACTAGTGATTTTTTTTCAGTTGGTTATGCCATAAGACTCATCTGAAAAGCAGGTAGAGTAACTAGAGCAAGTGATAGATGCAACGGGGTGCTGAGGTGCTTGACATGATTTTTGTGTCCCCAGATGACAGTACCGGTCAATGTGATGGCATTTATGTTTACCTCAAATCCCCGACACCAAATGACCTATACCTAAACAGAGATCCCAAGGTTTCCTGCGTGGTAGGTAATCTGGAAAGTGAAGAAGGGCTGAAGGTGACTTGGTCACGAGAAAAGCAGGTATCCCTGGACCCTGAACCTATGTCTGCATCAGAAGAACTTAATGGCACCTACACTGTGGTCAGTACTGTGCCCATCCTTACCAGAGACTGGGACTCAGAAGAGACATTCACCTGCACCGTGGAATATCCAGGCGTGCCCACTCCCATTGTTAAGAAAATTTTCAAGCGTAAAGGTAAGAGAGAAACATTGTTGACCTCTCATCTACAACTCATTTTAGCAGCCTCCTGGCATAGAGGAGAAAACACAAAAAACAACTGCAATACACTATTGGCACCAAGAGCTAGCAACACAGTTGTCATCCTGTCCCATCTCCCTCCCCAGTCACACACACACATATACAAATTGCAATGAACAATCAGTCTGAAGGAGGCCCTGGGATTGGCACACCTATTTCAGATTTTTATGAGACGAAAACAATAGAGTCAAAGAAAGGAATGTGTACATCTCAGGAGACAATACCTATATCACACCATCTTTTAGTGTCTGGAAACCAATGTCCTAACTTATTGTCGAAGGCTTTCATGGCTGGAATCACTAGGTTCTTGTGGGTTTTTTCGGGCTATAGGGCCATGTTCTAGAGGCATTTCTCCTGACGTTTCACCTGCATCTATGGCAAGCATCCTCAGAGGTAGTGCAGAGGTAGATGCAGGCGAAACGTCAGGAGAAATGCCTCTAGAACATGGCCCTATAGCCCGAAAAAACCCACAAGAACCTAATGTCCTAACTCTCTCTATTTTCAATACACTTCATTTTGAACAGGCCTAGATGCTTGGCCCAAGTTTGCGCCAGAGCTAAATTGAGATTCAGCGTATACTAGGGAATTTTCCTATGCAGTTTGTGGATCTAGACTTTAATCTCTGTTATCCCAGCATCTTGCCCATTCATTCAAAAAAGCCCAATGCGTTATCGATCATCCAGTCCTTTTAAGACACAAAGCCACTTACTCATGATGATGATGATGATGATATTTTTATACCCCGCCACCATCTCCCCAAAAGGGATTCAGGGCAGCTTACATGTGGGACCAAGCCCAGAGCAAACAACAGAGTTTACCAACTTATTTATCGTGTCAGGCAACCGAACAGTTGTATTACATTTTTGACAGAACAAACAAACAAACAAACATACAAAAGACACAGAGTTTGCAAGCTTGGAAGTTGATTAAATGTCCTTTGACCAGTATCTGGCTGCTTGGAGTGCTTCTGGTGTTGCCGCAAGAAGGTCCTCCATTGTGCATGTAGCAGGGCTCAGGTTGCATTGCAGCAGGTGGTCTGTAGTTTGCTCTTCTCCACACTCGCATGTCGTGGATTCCACTTTGTGGCCCCATTTCTTAATGTTGGCTCTGCATCTCATGGTGCCAGAGGGCAGTCTGTTCAGCGCCTTCCAAGTCGTCCGGTTTTCTGTGTGCCCAAGGGGGAGTCTCTCACTGGGTATCAGCCATTGATTGAGGCTCTGGGTTTGAGCCTGCCACTTTTGGACTCTGAGGTGTTCCAGCGAGTGTCTCTATAGATCTTAGAAAACTATTTCTTGATTTAAGTCGTTGATGTGCTGGCTGATGCCCAAACAAGGGATGAATCATAGAATCATAGAATCAAAGAGTTGGAAGAGACCTCATGGGCCATCCAGTCCAACCCCCTGCCAAGAAGCAGGATGAGCTGGAGATGTCTCTGCCTTGGTCCTTTCACTATTGGCTGCTACTTCCTGGCGGATGTCAGGTGGTGCGATACCGGCTAAGCAGTGTAATTTCTCCAGTGGTGTGGGGCGCAGACACCCCGTGATAATGCGCCGTGTCTCATTAAGAGCCACATCCACTGTTTTAGTGTGGTGAGGTGTGTTCCACACTGGGCATGCATACTCAGCAGCAGAGTAGCACAGCGCAAGGGCAGATGTCTTCACTATGTCTGGTTGTGATCCCAGTTGTGCCAGTAAGCTTTCGTATGATATTGTTTCTAGCACCCACTTTTTCCTTGATATTCAGGCAGTGCTTCTTGTAGGTCAGGGCAGTTTACCAACTAAAGCACAGTTAAAAACATAATAGTATATCACAATCTAATTAAATAATTAAAAACAACAGGGTATAAAAATATCATTAAAATATATAAAAAACAAACCTCAGCAATCAATAACCAAGAATATAATGGACATGATCATAATTAGGGAGGCTGGACATGGACTTGTGCAAAAGCAGACTACAGACTATAATCTATTGATCATTTAGGGTTGGGTGTTCATGAACAGGGGTCTAAATATCATTAAATGCACACTGGAACATCTAGGTTTTCAGGTCGATGCAGAAGGTGGACAGAGTAGGGGTTAGCCTAATCTCTCTGGGAAGGGAGTTCCAAAGCCAAGGGGCCACCACTGAGAAGGCCCTTTCCCTCGTCCCCACCCACCATGCTTATGACAGTGGTGGAAGCGAGAGCAAGGCCTCCCCAGCAGATCTTAAATCCTACACCAGTTCATAAGGGAAAATGGGGTTGCAAAGATAGCAATGCAAGTAACACGTGCAACACTTGCATCTAACAATGCAAGTAACACATATTTCCTTTCTCTTCACAAGCATACATTTTGTCAGTAGGATTTATTAAGTATAACAATTTGTTACAACTATCACAATTTAAAATTGTGATATCATATCTACCTAAACAATGGCTTCAGCACAACAAACTTGAACTCTTGCAGTGTTGTTACTGGAGATAACGTAAACACCCTCCTTTAGATAGTCAACCCGCTTTACGTCACCCCCTATCATCATAAAGCTTCAGAAAATATTAACTATGACCCCAAGAGCTGTAAAACAAAGAAAATATGACCTAGAATGTGGAGAATTGATAGAGAATTATGAAACATCTATGAACATTACAGAAGTGGGGGACATTCTCTTGAATGACCTTGTGATAAAGTACCTATGGCAGTTGCACACTGTTCATGAGAACATGTCGAAGTCCTTCACAGATAAGACTTAATCTCCTCTCTTTAAAGACCCACCTTTCTCATACTTCTGCTAATTTGATTTAACTGAACAATCATAGCCTACAATGAATAACCATTGTTTCTTCCTTTCTCTCATTTTTTTCCTTTTGACATTTAAAAAGGCAAGGTCACAACACCCAGTGTGTACCTCTTCCGCCCTCACCGTGAAGAGGTGAACTTTCAGCAACATTCAAAGCTGACCCTCACTTGCCTGATCAAAAATTTGAACCCGAAGGATGTCTCTGTCATGTGGCTGAAGAATAACAACGCTCTGACTGAAGACAACCACACCACAACCCCAGTCTTGAAGGACAGCATTGAGGATAGCTATTTTGCCTACAGCAAACTGTCGATCTCCAGAGCTGATTGGGACCAAGGCAGTTCCTTCACCTGCATGGTTATCCACGAAGGCCTTGCCATGAAGTTCACCCAGAGGACCGTTGAGAAATCCCAGGGTAAAAAGTGAAGACCATCTCTATCCTGTACCACAGTCCTCTTCGCCCTATCCCAGATTGTATCCAAACATTTGTAAATAATTCCCATGCATGCATGTTTGGCCCAAAGCTGAATAAAAGAGATCCAACTCTCAGACCTCCCTTCTTGTGGTTCCTGACAAGAGAATTGGGTGGGATCTTAGGTGGACGCCAAAAATGAAGGAGAAAAATTATTTCTAGGGTTCAGGGAAGGGGGGGTCACAGTTAATAGTGGAAGCAAGATATATTTAGTGCGATCAAATCTGTATGTTTTTGTTGGGCCGAAACCTAGAGGTGGAAATGACTACTCGGTCCATTTAATCCTCACTGGGCCCTTTAAGTGAGTCAGGAGTGAAGGGAATTTGCTCAGAGCTACCCAATCAGCTTCACATTAAGCAGTGATTTGATCCCATGTCAGCTTCTACCATCTGAGTCCAAACGCCGGCTCTACATTGTTTTCTTACTCATTCTACATCCCTTTGGAACAAAGAATCTGTTGCACCATTGATAAAAAAAGAATATTAAATTGCAGTCACTTGCAAACATTTCCACAACGGCTTGATTCCACCTGCCTTTCATCCTCAACTCACTCTCTTGTGCCTCAAACTCAAGTCCACAATTGATGGTCTTCAAAACATTTCCTACTTATAGTGATCCCAAAGTGAACCTATCACAGGGTTTTCCTGGTGCGATCTGTACGGATGAGATTTGCCTTTGCCTGTTGTTGAGAATCATTGAGTTGCCAATGCATTTCCACGACCAAGCAGGAATTTGAATCCTGATGTCCAGAGGCATCGCTCCACATTCAAACCACTACACTATGCTGGTTCTCGCGCAATTGAATTATGACACCAGATTTTCATATCAGATCTAGATATACCATATAAAATAGAACTACAGGGATGATCCCAGTGAGGCTCGAATCCAAAAAAGGACAAAATGGGATGGAAAGGTTACTAAAATATCTCCGTTCAATCCAGCATATTTGGATACATATAAAGGTATGCGCGGGAACACAGACACATGAGCAAAATACTCTAACCTAATAAAATAACATGAGCAAAGGAATACTTTAAAATGCCTGTCACATTCACAAAAATAAAAATCCAGTTTGTTTCTTGGCATCACTGTATTCTTGGGATAGAAAGAATAGTCGACAATTTCCAGAGCCCCTTAGCTCCAACTGGCTATATAAGATTTCCTCATAGAAGATACGCCTATCTGCAGATATTGACTATGAAAACTTTTTCAACAATTCATATTCAAAAACACTGATCACACAATGTAAGAAAATAAAGACACTATATTATGGAAATATCGACCCTATCAAATATCAACACTAGCAGAAAGAATTGTTCACTACAGACCTGTTCAAGGGTCTACTCACAACTACAAAATAAAGATACATTTGTTGAACATCACTGAGAACATAATGCGCCAGTTCTGGAATTTGGGACAATTACTTCAGAGTCAGAGAAAATTAGATTTCCAGGTCATAAGTGTCTCTCATTTTGGAAATTATGCTCAAAACCTATTGGCCTTCACTAAAACCTACACAAAAATCCCCATTAGAATTCATAACACTGAAAGGTCTTTGTGCTAGGATAAATGTTCAGTAGAACAGAAGACAATTACATACAACGTCAACTACAACGCTCATTATATTCACTTTGTCCTGAAAGTGTATTTAGGAACCCTAAAAAAAGAAAAGAAAAATCTATAGTTGTGATTCTCTGTGAAATTCACATGACATATCAACTCCTCACCAACGTTTACTCCATAATGTGCCATAATTGTACTTAATGTCCCATTTGGTGGTTGGACACATGGGATCAAATCACTGAGATATGAAGCTGAATGGATAACCTTTCTATGAGTCCATATATAATCATCCTTCCCAAGTATCACAACATTTCTGCAAGAGTATTCTGTCTGGGGCAGAGACGATCATCCTTGTTGGGCTCAAACATCAATTTTTCATTCCCAGGATCAGGATTGGATATAGCTAAAAATTAAAGCTAAAATTAAACAACATGCGTGACCAGATACTCATATGTGACTTTGACGTAGCGGGAAGGTTGAACTTCCAGGAGTTGCAACCTCCTACATATCAAAAATGACCACACCTCGAAGACAACTGAGTTGTCTAATTGTAGTTCAGATGGAATACTCATGAAGAAATATTGTGATCTTTGAGGACCACGAATGGTGCACCTCCAGGAGAAGGCATTCAGTTGAAAGTAAATCAATTAAGAACCAAAATTGCCAAGGAGAAGATGGAAAGAAAAGGCCGAGGAGCCACATCCCATTCTTTGTTTCCCTAGGCTCTTGGGATTTTTCAGTGTCTTATTGACACTAAGATGAAATTTTCTATGTTGCTTGAGATTGACTTTTCCTTATTGGAAACTTGTTAAGAAACTGCTTCCAACATTCTTGTAGTTTGCTGTTCATCAGATATTCAGCAAGGATTAGGCCAAGCGATGATCTAGAGATGAATGAATGAATATCAGCTGCACCGCATTTTTGTCCCCTTGGAAACCAACCAAGGATGGATGAACAAGTATTTAGGAGAGTGACAGTTGAAACAATTTTCTCAATATTATGAAGTTCCTCTATGGAACTTGCCATAATGGCCATATGGAGTGGACAGATCTTCTGGAAGATCACCCCCTAAACAAATTACCAAAGGAAGATGATAATATTTGTAGGATTAAATTGATCCAGACCCATACTTTAAACTCATTGAAATCTTCAGAATTTAAGTTAAGTATTTAAACAAATTTACAAAGTAAGGTGACAAATTTTGTTGGGTTTGATTGATTTGGAGCCATACTTACTCACTGAAATCTTTGGAATATAAGTCAGTGTGAAAAAGTTTGAATCCAGTCCATTCCTATTCAAGCCTTAGACAACACTGACTTCATTCATAATTCTCTATGTTATGGGTTTCTGGTCTACATTACAGTGAAAAAATAATAATACAATAATACAATGCCCATAACAACTTAACTGTAAATGAAGAAGCATGCATGCTAATATCTGGTACTTATATAAAACCCTATAAGATATATGTTGATGAAAGCAGGATTTGTGATGGGTTCCATTGCAGACATAGATTGCAAACATGTGTAGACTGGATAAGAGAGGAAATGTACAGATGCATAATTAGGTGGATGGGTGAATGTTGGGACATATGTTAATGAGCAATGGAATGAGACGTGTTTTCCCCTTTCAGAGATGAAACAGATTATAACCGTTTTGACAGAGAATGGTTACAGTGATGAGAACGAGGAAGAGCTGAAGCATTTGTGGATGACCATCTTCATTTTCTTCATTCTCTTCCTTCTCAGCGTGTGCTATAGTGCGACGGTGACCCTATTCAAAGTAAGGAGAAGGGAAGGGTTATCTTACCCAAAAAATGTCCTGATTTAACAGGGAATGTGCTGATAAATCTTCTGTTGTCCCATTTTTTCAGACACTTTTAAATTGAAATTAAATTTCAGACACTTTTAAAGACACTTCAACTTTATGGTAATTTATTATGGTCCAGAGACCCTTACTACACTGTAGCCTACAAGTTTTACAGGTAATGAGATTAAGAACATCCCATTGATTGAACACACAAATGGATAAAATTTGCAAACAGTAAAAGCTGCTTAACGTGATGCCACTGATGCAAACTGTGCAAAAGTAGTATGGACCCAATGGAGGGATGAGACAGGACATGGCAACATCTTGACCATCCCAATGGGGACAAGCAAGTCTCTTTTTAAAAACATCTCCTATTATCCTCACCTTCTCTCTTGCCCACAGGTGAAATGGCTTTTTTCCAGCATGGTGAACATGAAGAGGCAACCAACTGGCCCCGATTATAAGAATGTACTCCAGCGTATGATATGAAACCATCTTCTGGGAAACCAGCTTGCTTTCTTCTTCAGAGATGCAAAGCTGAAGACCCTGGCCAGGGATGGCATTTCTTCTCCAGTATGACTCCCTCTCCATCAATCTCTTCTCATCCTTGACAGGTAGAGATGAAGCCTGTCAACTCAAGATCTTCTATGAGGAAGGCAATGCAGCTAGAATCTGGAACAGGATTTCTGATCTTACGTTCTTAATTTGATGACTTGGGTTGGGCCAGAGTTCTGAAAAGGAAAAACTCTCTGACCATCAAGTCTAGAGTTTTCTTAAAAGGAGCTAGTTCTGCCACCCAATTTGAGTTCTATATGGTGTTTACATTATGTTCTCTTCAGCACTCAGTTAAGCCATTTTCGGTCTTTGCACTGTTTTATATCCATTGCTGCTTTTATAACTGATTTTACTATTTGCCCCTGATGGTTTATATTTGTGTTTCTGATTGGCATTAATGCTGCTTTGTATTTTTTTGTATTTTTATGTTTTTTCTGTTATGTGCACTGTGCAGAACTCATAGATTATGGGACAGTTTTATAATATAGAAAATTAAAGAAATAAGGAATTAGAGGGGGGGCATTTCCACACATCCCTAAGGAAAGCAACTTCGTGTTTTATAAGCTAAGTGACTTCCAGCCTCACTTCCCATCTTACCTTCTGCATGTAAGAGCCCCCCCCCCCCATTCTCTCTATATCCTTTGTACAATATGGCTTCCACTAAGAAGACTTCCAGCCCCACCCAACAATGGGTGACTCTTAACCATTCTGTTTGGGTCATATCCTTTAAACATAACAAAGAAATGGCCCATATCAGCATCCAAACCTCAATATCAAAATATCCTGAAGGAACCGTATTTTTATCTAATCTTGGAAACCTAAGAGGGTTAGCCCTGGTTAATACTTGGATGGGAGACCACCAAGAAATACCAAGTGCTGTAGGCTATATTTCAGAGGAAGGCAATAGAAAATCACCTCTGTTTACTCTTGGTCTAAGAAAATTCTGAAATTGATGGGGTGGCCAGAAGTTGATAGATGAGTTGAACCAGAAGTTGATAGGTGAGTTGAACACACATACACACATATGTCAACAGCATTCAAATARTGGATTGTTGTAGGTTTTGCGAGCTGTATGGCCATGTTCTAGCATTCAAATAATTGGTTTTGAAAGCCCTTTACATCTCCCTCCCCCCCCCCCCACACACACACACACACACACATGTATTCCATGTTTTTCAAACTCAGTGCTGGTGCTGAGAAGATATTTAATAGTTTCATAAACTGGTTGTTTGTGATGTATTCTAAAAAAAAACAAATAAATACAAAAATAAAAGAAAGTCTCCCTATTGTGTGCTTTTTTGGTTTTGTTTTATTTTTATTTTATTTTTTTTGTTTGGCACTGATAAATATTATTGGTTACTATTTCAGATTTGCAGAAAGTCTTTTAACTCTTCCAGTTGACAGTAGATCAGGTGTTTGGAAGGTGTAATGGGGTTGTTTATTACAATGTGGTCCCTTGCAAATATTATATCCACTTTATATTCCAACTACCACTGTTGTGGCCTCGGAGGGAAGGAAGAGCAGCCAGGTATATCTCCTTCATGGTGTGGTTTCTTTCAACAACTGGTGAGAGAGCCTCTCTCCATTCCAAATCCCATTGCTATGGCCTCTGAGGGAGAGAAGAGCAGCCAGGAACAACTGCATCATTCTGTTGTTTCAAAATTGGTGAGATCCCCTCTCTCCATTCCAAATACAACTGGTTTGTCTTTTGAGGCTGAATCTACACCGCCATATAATCTAGATTATCTTCTTTGAACTGGATTATATGAGTCTACATTGCCATATAATCCAGTTCAAAGCAGATATGGATTTTATATGGCAGTGTAGATGGGGCCTGAGGGGGTGAAGAGCAGCCATGCAGAGCTCCATCATGACTTAGTCCCAGCAATTGATGAAAGGAGCTCCTTCAATTCCAAATCCCATGTCCTTGGAAACTATGTCCTTGGAAACTGAGAAGAACAGCCAGCATCTGCTGGACATCATCTCCTCCCTCACTGTCATTCTATTTTCTTTGTGTGTCACATATTTACTTTGGAAGTTTTGAGTAAGTACACAAGCTGTCCATTTCAGAAAAAAACAAAATATTTGAATTTAACTTCTCAACAGCTATCTAATATTATATTATCTTAGTGTTATTTGTTTCCCATCTCGCTTGGTAGAGAAGGAGTGGCAAATTATTATTATTATTATTATTATTATTATTATTATTATTATTATTTTACTATGATATTTTTGCTTTGTTGCAATCCAGCAATATCTAGAGAGCCAAATCTTTGTGCTAAAGGGGAAATGTCATGCCAAAAAGGAGTATAATGCAGAGTTAGATTGGGTCTGCGACTTGCAGCGGATTGTTTGAATTTGGAGTACAAAATGGAACAAATTTTATTTTATTTTATTTTATTTTATAGTCTTGTGTCTTTGAGGGTTTTTTCCCTTCTGGCCTTTTTTTCTTTTTTTCACATTTTTAAACACTGTCACTTCCTTGGCCCTTTGCTAGCTGCCTTTTGAACGTAGCATAGTAATAAACAGGATGCAGGTTGCCTACAGGTACAGATGGTGCTGAAATAAGAGGAACTGAAAACTAAGAGAGCTTTACAGAGAAATGTTCTTTTTCAAGGCGTGATCACTGCCAGTTTAAGAAAAATGCCTGAATCATGGCCGATCTTGATCTTGACATAGTTATTACCAGTATTAAAGGTAGGAATCACGAGGCCTTCCAGGGTTGCAGGACAACAAATCCTATCACCGTTTGCCACCATAGCCATTAGTAAGAAATACTGGAAGATACAGTACAGTGTTCCCTCACTTATTGCAACGGTTACGTTCCAGGACCACCCACCATAAGTGAAAATCCGTGAAGTAGGGATGCTTACAGTATATCTTCAGTATACATCTGCCCTCCCTATAGAACAGTGTTTCTCAACCTGGGGGTTGGGAACCCTGTGGGGGTCGCGAGGGGGTGTCAGAGGGGTCACCAAAGACCATCAGAAAACATAGTATTTTCTGTTGGTCATGGGTTCTGTGTGGGAAGTTTGGTCCAATTCTATCGTTGGTGGGGTTCAGAATGTTATTTCATTGTAGGTGAACTATAAATCCCAGCAACTACAACTCCCAAATGTCTATTTTCACCAAACTCCATCTGTGTTCACATTTCACATATTGAGTAATCGTGCCAAGTTTGGTCCAGATCCATCATTGTTTGAGTCCACAGTGCTCTCTGGATGTAGGTGAACTACAACTCCAAAATCAAAGGACACTGCCCACCAAACCCTTCTAGTATTTTCTGTTGGTCATGGGAGTTCTGTGTCCCAAGACTGGTTCAATTCCATCATTGGTGGAGTTCAGAATGCTCTTTGATTGTAGGTGAACTATAAATCCCAGCAACTACAACTCCCAAATGACAAAAATAATCCCCCCAACTTCACCAGTATTCAAATTTGGTCCAGTGATGTATTTCTGCCAAATTTAGTCCAGTGATGAAAATACATCCTGCATATCAGATATTTACATTACAATTCATAACAATAGCAAAATTACAGTTACGAAGTAGCAATGAAAATGTTATGGTTGGGGGTCACCACAACGTTAGGAACTGTACTAAGGGGTCGCGGCATTAGAAAGGTTGAGAACCACTGCTATAGAAGATGGCCCCTCTCTCTCTCAATCAATCAATCTCTCTATTTCGGCGGTGCTTCCCTCCGCCTCGAGCTCGCACCCAGCCTGGGCTGCATGGCACATGCGCGGTGGCGACAAGGACAAGGACCAGGATGAGGAGGAAAGTAAAGAGGGTGAGGAGACTGAGCCTATGCAGAGATCCATCCATCCATCCATTCCTCCTTCCTCCTCCAGTGTTCCCTCACTACTTGTATACAGTACTGTATTTTAAATTCATTTTTTTAAAACCGCAAAACAGCGAGTTTGCAAAAAGCGAACCACAAAGTACACTGTACAGACTGAGAATCCCTTATCTGAAATATCTGAGATCAGAAGAGTTTGGGGGTATGTTTTTTTCAGATTTTGGAATATTTGTACTTTCATATACATCCACTATGAGATATTTTGAATATAGGATTTGATTCTAAACATAACATTTATTTATATTTCATGTATACCTTATAGGAGCTGTGATGGCGCAGTGGGTTAAACCCTTAGGCCAGCTGAATTGCTGACCTGTGTGAGCTTCCATCTGTCAGCTCCAGCTTCCCATGTAGGGACATGAGAGAAGCCTCCCACAGGATGGTAACACATCCGGGCATCCCCTGGGCAACATCCCTGCAGACGGACAATTCTCTCACACCAGAAGCAACTTGCCATTTCTCAAGTTGCTTCTGACACAATTATACACACACACAATGGATTACACTCTTAGGCCGGCTGAATTGCTGACCTGTGTGAGCTCCCATCTGTCAGCTCCCGCTTCCTATGTAGGGACATAAGAGAAGCCTCTCACAGGATAGTAGCACATCTGGGCATCCCCTAGGCAACATCCCTGCAAACGGCCAATTCTCTCACACCAGAAGCAACTTGCAGTTTCTCAAGTTGCCTCTAACACAATTATACAGACACGCAATGGATTAAACTCTTAGGCCGGCTGAATTGCTGACCTGTAGGAGCTCCCATCTGTCAGCTCTTGCTTCCTATGTAGGGACATGAGAGAAGCCTCCCACAGGATGGTAGCACATCTGGGCATCCCCTAGGCAACGTCCCTGCAGACGGACAGTTCTCTCACACCAGAAGCAACTTGCAGTTTCTCAAGTTGCTTCTGACACAATTATACAGACACGCAATGGATTAAACTCTTAGGCCAGCTGAATTGCTGACCTGTGTGAGCTCCCATCTGTCAGCTCCAGCTTCCCAGGTAGGGACATGAGAGAAGCCTCCCACATCCGGGCATCCCCTAGGCAACATCCCTGCAGACAGACAATTCTCCCACATCAGAAGCAACTTGCAGTTTCTCAAGTTGCTTCTGACACAATTATACACACACACATACCTTATCCTGTAGATAATTTTGTATTTTGTGAGTGTTTTTCTCACTGTCAAAAGCACATGCTCTGATTCGTGAAGGTAAACATGAACTCAATTGCAATTAATGTCACTCAGAGACACATTTCCTGCTGCTGAATGGGATAACCATACATTTTAACTCTGTAT